CTGGGTTTGGAAAGGAAAGCTCAGCACCCATCCAGATGTGTCTGCGGCAGCACACAAGGCATTTCCCATCAGAGTCCAAATTCTACCCCAGCTCCCAGAACCTTGTCCCACCACACCTACTGGGCAAGGAGCAAGGGCCAGGCAACAGGAAACTGACAACCATGAATCAGAGGAGCTGCCACCTGCCTGAGATCCAACCCAGATGCCCGCCCAGCCCCACCTCTGAAGCCAAGGCGATGCAGGTGAAGACGCCTGGCAACAGCACCTTCCTTCATGACCAAATCAGAGAGAAGAGCAACAAAACTACGAACCAAGGCCAGAGACACAGCGCCAAAAGATCCAAGACCCCCTGCCCCCTTCTGCCAGTCATTCGCTCATGAGCGCGCAGCGGCCCTCAGCCCCCAGTGTGACTTCAACCTCCACGCACCCCACCAGGGCGCCTCACCTGGCCTACGACCGGTATGGTTACCTTACAGAAAGTCCAATGTGAGCCCTGTTCCCCATATCCTCCTGACAGTCCAGAGCCATCCTCCACTGCACAGGAAGGAGGTTAAGCCAGGCCCCTCAGCTGTGGCCACAGGTGAATGTGGGCTCAGAACCAGCCTTCTAGATTTCAAGTCTAGTATCCCCTATGCCAAATCCCACTTGCGTGGCTTCTCCTGAGTATTCTAAACAGGTATGATTTACAAAAATCCAAATGAGAACTAAATAGATAAACCATATTGCAAAACAAGTCTCTGGTGCATACCATTAAATAGCTGAGGTTCCTCTTGTTCTTAGAAACTGCTCAATTTAGTAAAACGTGATAAAGAGATACATGATTGATTGACAGATAAAATATGTTAAGAAATTAGCACAGTATGCAAGAGAGGTGTATCAGGCTGCTGAACAAAGTAAATCCTGCATTGGCAAAGGGTTATCACACAAGAATCTCTCCAACAAGCCATCTAAGCAACTGCCAGACAGTCCTGCCAATACTTGATAACACAGAAAACACTGAAGAATAAACCCCAGCCCTCTGAATTTTCTGTCACCAGACTGCACTGAAATGCACTGGCAGCTGCTGACCCACAGGGTCATTTCACATGAGAAAGTGCCTCTGCCCCTCCGCCGCCCTTCCTCACATCACCACACTCATGCGGCCATTAGCAAGTTCTACACAGTCGCCCCTCGAAGCCTCTTGTTGCCTGGGTTCCAGAGGAATGCTGCACTGAGAGCAGTGTGCAGTCTGAGGGGTGAGGATCTGGAATCCACAGAGTCCCGGCTTACCCTCCTTTGCCTAAAGGCTTCTGGGAGCAGGAAGAGCTGAGATCAGCCCAGGCCTGTCCTACAGGAGCCTGGGTAAGGGAGTGGAGGTAGCAGGGCATAGCCACCGGCAGGAATTTTCTGGAGCCCAAACACAGACACACCCAAAGAGGTGTGAAATGCACACAGCCTATACCCAGCAAGCCAGGAAATGGTCCACTGGGCCAGCCATCCAAATCCACGAGCACCCCATGGCTGCCCACTCATTTCTCACCTGACACAGGCTGCCCTGAGGTAAGTGACCATCAAAAGATGGGCCTGAAGAGGTGCTGACTTCAGATCCCACTTAGCAGGGAAGGACCCTTGCCTCTCACTTCAGCATCAAGTGACCTCTGACCTCCCGTTCATAGCTTTAGGGTGAAGCCCCTCTGCTCAGCAGCAGCCCCCTCCATGCACCATGCACCCCCAACCCACCTCTGGCAACTGTCCCCCACATCCCATCCCCGACACAGGCACATGCCCGCGGACCCAGCTGTAAGATCATCCCCAGTTCCCCACTCAACCAGCACTCCTGGATGCCACCTCCCCACCACCTGCACCAGGGCAGGAGAGAGGGAGCGGCAGGAGCACACACGGTCCGGGAAAAGGCGAGGCACACCGGAAAAGCAGGTTGGGTGTTTCTGTTTCAACGGTAACTGGGGAGTCGGCTCACGTTTATCAGAGCCGCTTTCGGAGAAATAACCCGTGGCAAAGTCAGAAGCCACAGGCCAGGAGCCTCCCACCCTCCAGACTGCATTAAGGGGCCTCCTCATGGTTCCAGCACAGCGCAGTCGAGGACAGCGACACCCAGCCATGCCTCTGCAGCTCTCCAGCACATGACAGCGTGGATCTGTGGCCTCCCCAAAGGTCAAAGCTGCCCCACTGGCCGTCTCTTTCAATACCCCATCCCTGGATACTGCTGTTATTCCCAGAAGTAACGCCAATCCAGAAACACTTTCTACACTCGCCAGGGGCTGGAGCCGCCTGCCCTGAGACACTGTCCACCAGGCTGGTTCAGCCACAACGCATGCCAGGCTGGGCCCTGCAGGACACTGGGGCAGTCACTTCCCACGACAAGCAATGCCGCCTGCCTAGGCAGGTCTGTGGGACTCAAAGCAGCACATGGGATGCCCTGGACAGGCCAGAAGCTTCTCATTCCAAGCTGGGACAGTGGGTCTTAAGGCTAGGCATCAGAATCTCCTAGGGAGATTTTTAAAACACCATGTTGGTTCAATCCCAAAAGAGCTGGATGAAAGTCTAGGGGAACCTGGGCTTCAGGATGTCTTACAATGCACCTCCCAGTTGAAAAACACTGCTTTAGGCTCACACCTGTAATCCCAGCACTTTGGGAGGCCAAGGTGGGCAGATCACGAGGTCCGGAGTTCAAGACCAGCCTAACCAACATGGTGAAACCCCATTTCTGCTAAAAATACGAAAATTAGCCGGGGGTGGTGGCAGGCACCTGTATATCCCAACTACTCAAAAGATTGAGGCAGGGGAATCACTTGAACCCGGGAGATGGAAGGTTGCCGTGAGCCGAGATTGCGCCACTGCACTCCAGCCTGGGCAACACAGGAGACTCCACCCCAAAAAAAGAAACAAAAACCAACCACCTGAGCACTGGAAGATGACCTCAAGTCAAAAGCCACTAGGAGCACCACAAGAGAAGGAGCAAAACAGGCCTCTGGACTGCCCAAAGAGAAGCCAGAGAAGCCACCGGCTGCGCTCACGGCGCAGGGGCCCTCCAGGCACCATTTACCCTTCTCCAGGAAAGAACGGTCCCCCTGCGTCAGAAAGGAGTTATGGTCCCACTGCTAGAGGCGGGTACCCTCACAGCACCAAGAGGCCATGGGGTAAGCCCGTTGCTAAGCACAAGGTTTCCAGCATGTTTTACCCATGCCTCGGAGAGCTGCCCCTAGGACTCTGCCCCATTTCGGCTGCTCTGCTGGACATCTGAGACGGATAAACAAGCAACACAGGCCGAGCATGGTGGCTCACGCCTGGAATCCCAGCACTTTGGGAGGCCGAGGTGGGTGGATCACCTGAGATCGGGAGTTTGATACCATCCTCACCAACATGTGAAACCTCGTCTCTACTAAAAATACAAAATTTAGCTTGGTGTGGTGACACATGCCTGTAACCCCAGCTACTTGGGAGGCTGAGGCAGGAGAATTGCTTCAACCCAGGAGGCGGAGGTTGGAGTGAGCCAAGATCACTCCATTGCACTCCAGCCTGGGCAGCAAGAGCAAAACACTGTCTCAAAAAAAAAAAAAAAAAAAAGCCACACAAACTGTGACCCTCTTCCTACCACCCACCACCAGCAAGACTGTGCAGAACCCCCATTTCCTCACCTATGGGGGAAAAGGCGGACATCAGCATATAAGAAAAAAAAAAATACTAAGGGAAATACAGGAAAAATGGGCTGCTGACGGCAAAACAAATGATCCCTAATGAATCCTCTTTCTCCCTGAGAAAGGTGTTGCCAGCCGGGTGCAGTGGCTCATGCCTATAATCCCAGCACTTTGGAAGGGAGGCCAAGACCGGCAGATCACGAAGTCAGGCATTAAGGCCAGCCTGGCCAACATGGTGAAACCCCATCTCTACTAAAAATACAAAAATTAGCCAGGCATGATGGTGCATGCCTGTAGTCCCAGCTACTCAGGAGGCTGAGGCACAAGAATCACTTGAACCTGGGAGTCAGAGGTTGCAATGAGCCGAGGTCACGCCACTGCACTCCAGCCTGGGCAACAGAGCAAGACTCTGTCTCAAAAAAA